GCGCTCAGTAAGGGCGATCAGAAAAACACTTCTAAAATACAATAGTAATAATAATAGTGACAACAGAAATAATGACACTGCACTAAACATGTCCATGGATTATCTCATTTAATTTTAAAACAATAGTGTAAGGTAAGTCCTCTTTTTACCCCTATTTTACAGATGAGGAAAAGGAGATACAGAGGGCTTAAGAAACTTAATGTCACACAGTAAATAAAAGAGCAGAAATTGACTGAGTAAATGTAGCAGCTATTATTATCATATTATTATCCTCATCATCACCATCATCAATCCATTTGGTGATCTCTGCAGCAGACGAGGCTATAAAAATGAGTTCTTGGGTACTTCCAAAGATAATTGCCTCCTTTTGGAAGGAATCCAGAACAAACCCACATTAAGCTAAATTCTGCATTAGAGTGGGCTGTTACACAGTTGGGAGGATTTATTCCAAGCACCTAGAAGACTCATGGAAGATGAATAGATAGAATTTGTCAGATTTTCCTTTACCTTTAAACATAACCCAATGCAATGAAGAGGACCATGTCATTTTGTCCATACACAAAGGTATTTTTAAACATTACAATGAGCTCATCTAGTTGTCAGTCCCTGGGAAATTACGTACTGAGTCAAAGATAGGCATGCACACCTCATATAAAATATGGTCTACATTGCTAATGAGTGATAAAAATTAACAGGATTTTAGTGTAAAGTTATGAGTCTACGCTAAAGCAATTGAAAACGAAAATGTAGAGTTTACTCAAGTTTAATTCTATAAAGCTCTTTATCAAAAGTATTCACTTGTTATATTTCCCCTACCTATTTAATTATTCAAAATAAATGTAAAGATGTAGTATTTTGGATATAAATTAATAATGAATGTACATTTTTCTAAACATTTTTTCAGTGACTTATGATCATATATGTATAATCATTTTAAAACATTCTTATAAAAGATGAGATTTAATGATTTCACAGAACATCATAATACATTAAGCACATTACAGAAAAATAAATACAATATTAATATAAATACATTCTCATTATTTTTTCAAAAACCTAGATGAATATTCCAGTGTTTTAATAAGAATTCCTAATATGCTTCAAATGACTTCTAACTTTTATTTTCTTAACTGTTATCAATAATCAATTATTTATTTATTTATTTATTTATTTTGTAATCTATACCCCCAACATGGGGCTTGAACTCACCACCCTGAGATCAAGAGCCACATGCTCTTCCAACTGAGCCAGCCAGGGCCCCTATTGTTAACAATACTCAGACATTTAAAGTATGCTGTGTTTTTTTCTTTTAATCCAATTTTTAGAAATGACTGTTGAGAATGCATGTTGTTCATTAATAAATTTAGAAAAATTCACAAAAATTGAAAGAATTAAAAATGCTAGTTGTACCTGGAGATTTAATGTTCAGATCGATGTTTGGAAGACCTGATAAGTAAAGCCAGACACTAGGAGTGCATTTCCTAACAAGACTACTAATGGAAAATCACCTGAATATAACAACTGATGACTAGAGAGAATATACCAAAGCCATTTGAATGCTGAGTTTTCACATCTCAGTACTGTGCTGCCTCCTACGTGACAATCACATTCCTCCCATGCTTTGTAGGAATGAAATCGAAAGCAAGACCTCACCACCCCCAAGTACTTATCAGCAATTCTCCTTTCACTTCCTGATGTATTTTAGGGTATACCTTAGGTCAAAATCAGGGACCAAGAAGGACATCCTTTGAATGGACTTATTTCCGCTCTTGTCGTTTCCTTTTCACTGGGCTTTCTGACTCAAACCTGGGTAATCAATAGAGGAGGAGAGACAATAGATTAAAGGGAACAGGACAGGGAAGAAGGCAGAAATTTTTATTACCCAAGAGACTCTGTATTTTAAAATGGGTCATTTGTGTTTATATACTCCCAGTTAACTAGTCATCATTTCTCTAGTTATGATTATTTTATTTAGTGGAAATTGTTTCAATCACAATTGAAACCCAGTTGAAAATTTTAGGCTCTTAGCAGTTGAGATAAAATCTGGAGTTAGAAAGACCCCAGTTTTGATCCCTTCATATAGTCCTTCACATATTCACTATAAAACTGGAAAAGTTCCTTCGTGCCTGTGAGCCTGTGAGCTAAGATCTGTAACTAAGGAAGACAATACTTCATGGGATTGTGAAAATTCAGATGCTTAGCTTGGGCTTTACCCTTAGAAGGTGGTTATTGTTATAATTCCTTCTACCGGATGCCACAAACTACAACTGAAGTCTAGGGTCCTGGTGGCAGTGCAGGAAACCTACAAGCCTCAGTCACCATTTGTTAACCAACCTCTGGTTACCTGTCCAAGAACTCCCTTCTCATTGAAAGCTGTCATTTTCCTCCAAAAGCTTTTCTTCTTCCTCACCACAATCTGTAAAGCTAGGGTAGACCTTTGACGTTCATCATTTGACAGAGTTATTTACACAAAGGTATAAATAAGGCTTAGCAGAACTGTGGGACTGTTGCCTTTTTCAATGTCCAAATAATCTATAACAAAGATGTTAGGGGAGTTTTTCTTCCTGTGTAAGAGAAGATCTGCTACCGTAAATAAATTAACACAGAACCTAAATGTAATGATGAAGTATTTACCAGGATAATTTTAACTCCTCCATATTTTTTGTATGGAAGAGTTCTTTACAGAGGCAAAAGTTAACCAAATGGAGAGCTGTCAAAAGAATCATAACCTATAAATACCATATTGTTGTTGTTGTTTAATTTTCGCTAAAGTTGCTCTTTATTCTCACAGGAAAAATTTCAGTTCCACAAGGACAAGGATTTTGTCTGTTTTTCTTCGTGGATCTATCTGAAGCACCTAGAATAGTGGTCTGGTGCATAGTGTATGCTCAGTAAACATTTGTTGAAAGATCAGGAAAAATACATCATTAAACTCCTGCCCTCCTTTAGAAATTTGCAAAAAGAAATAAAAAAGTAAATAAAAGCAAACACACTTTGATTTATTTGAAAGTCACACAAAAAAGATGTCCCAAGTATTGTGTTTATAAGTGCAGCCTCTGATAATCAGTCCTGCGTTTGAATTTGGACTGTACGACCCTAAGTAAATCACTTAATTTCTCTGTTTTGCCTCAATTTCCTCCTTCTGTAAAATGGGTATGCTGCTACTTCATAGTATTGTTATTATGATTAAATAAGGTACTGAATGAGTAAAAAGACTACAAAATTTCCTGACATAAAGTAAGCACCAATGAACGTTGGGCGTTTTTATTGAAACATGAAATGTTGCTGAGGACGGTACTGGGGCCCACGAAGTAAATGACAACTGGAGGTCCCACAGCCATTCAGCAAAGCCAGAACCAAACAGCCACGCTTCCAGTCAATTTATGAAAAAGTTTTTCCCACTGTACTAAGCTCCCTGCTCATCTCTTTATATATACTTTCTAAAACTACTTACAAGGGAAAAAAAGATGTGTGCTTCACACTCTCTCGCAAAGACTTTCGGAAAAATGCAGGATTCCCAAATGCTTGCTGGAAATACTGAGAAAACCTTGAACCATGCCACATACAGCAGTTACTGTAACTACCCTAATCCTGAGTTTAGCAGACTTATGGAAAATTTTGTTCTTGAGCGTTTGTGAGCACACAGCTCAGGGAAACGGGAATCCAAACAGCAATCCTTGAGGTGTCTTCAGGATGAATATAATATTCAGAGTCACGGAGTGCTTCTCTTCCTCCTCCGGTCTCACCTCCCTCGGCTCGCAGCATTCCCCACAGCTGGTGCTCGAAACCACGAATGGCTCGCTAGCGCGGGCGGGGGCGGCCGAGGGGCCGGAGCCGGAGGCGGTGGAGATGAGGCGAGGCTAGGCATCAAGAGCCAGCGCCAGCGCCGAGCTCAGCCTCAAACACAGTCTTCCTCCTGGACCCGTCAAGTCAGACCTCACGTGTACACCAGGAGGATCTAACTAAGGCAACCTGACCAGCCGCGGTCTCCGAGCGCTGCGCAGATGTGCCCGGAGCGGAAGGTGAGTCATCCTGCCCTCCTCCCCACCCCCGCCCCGTGCCCAACAGGTTGGCTGGGGCGCGACTCCAAGGGGCCCGGAGGGCACACCTCTAGTCTCACCTGGGCACGGCGCTCGGCTGCTCCCTTTACCGAGTCGTCGTTACTATTTAAACTCCTGCCCCAGCCCACGCCCGTTCTATTCCTTGTCTTTTTGCCTTCCCTTCTCCTAAAATGAGAGCTCCGCTGTATGCCGGAGAACGAGCCTAGAACGCCTGCTTTCCGGGAAACTTGTACCGGCAGAAATGGCTAAACCGAAGGGCACAAAGTGCCTCGATACGCGACGGGAACTGGCAATGGTGACCCCTTGTTCTTAGTGACTCACTGGGACTTCAGTTAAAAGTCATCACCAATTATCCTTATTTCTCAACCAGGAGGTCAAAACCAGAGGGAGGGAGGAGGAAATAGAGCGTGAGTGACAATTAGACTTGAATGAGAATGAATGGGAGCAGATGATGCGGCCCCCTCGCCCTGGGCACCCTCCGCCACGTGCTCACGCCCCCAGCGACCACTCCCGGGGAGGCCTCTGAAGCCGCCGCAGGAAAAGACGGAGGAAGACAGAGCCTCAAGTTGGATAGAACTCAGACCCGGCCACCACTTCCCCTGCTTTCTGAACTTTCCCTCTCGGTCTCCTGGGCTGGAGTGAGTCTTACCATCCCCCTTGCCTTGGTCCGTTCCCACCAAGAGTCATCTTGTCCTCCTCCCCCACTCTAGACCTCCCACCTCTCCCTCCCCGCCCGCTCCAGCCCTAGGTAGCGAAGCATTCAATCCGTACACCTCCCGGGCTGGGAATCTCCAGCACGAACTCAGTAAATCCGGGAAGGGCCTCGGTGCCCAGCAGTGTACCCCGGCGCTGTCCCCGCCTAGACCGCGTCGGAGCTTTTACCCCCCGCGCGACCCCCGCCCCGCCTCGCCTCGCCTCGCCTCGCCTCAGCCTGGGCGCCCCGGCACTGGTGCGCTGTAATCGCGCGCTCGCCGTGCCCTAGCGGCCACTGGCGGAACGCGCACAGGGGGTGGAGAGTGGAGGGGTGCGCGGGCGGGAGGCACCCCCCACCTCGGGAGTCAGGGAAATCCCGGCCGCCACCAGGGGCCGTGCCACCACCCTCGCCGGACCGAGGCTTCCGGCGCGCCCCCCAACTTTGTGGCGCCCTCACACAGCGGCGGCGGGGATGGAGCTGCCTCCCCGAAGGCGGGCGCCGCTGGACTCGCCGCTGGACAGCTGCTCCCTGACCTCGCTGGACTCCAGCGTTTTCTGCAGCGAGGGTGAAGGGGAGCCCCTGGCACTCGGGGACTGCTTCACGGTCAACGTGGGCGGCAGCCGCTTCGTGCTCTCGCAGCAGGCGCTGTCCTGCTTCCCGCACACGCGCCTTGGCAAGCTGGCGGTGGTGGTGGCCTCGTGCCGCCGCCCCGGGGCCCTGGCCGCCGTGCCCAGCCCCCTGGAGTTCTGCGATGATGCCAACCCCGTGGACAACGAGTACTTCTTCGACCGCAGCTCGCAAGCGTTCCGCTACGTCTTGCACTACTACCGCACCGGCCGTCTGCACGTTATGGAGCAGCTGTGCGCGCTCTCCTTCCTTCAGGAGATCCAGTACTGGGGCATCGACGAGCTCAGCATCGACTCCTGCTGCAGGGACAGGTACCCGCGAGGCGCGCGGTGGCTGGGCGGGGAGGCGGGCGCAGTGGGGAGAGGGCAGCAGAGGTGAGACAGGAGCTTCACACAAACCTCGGGGAATCCAGGCCTCCGAATACCTGAGGCCGCTTCTGAGCTGTTAAGGTGGGGTGGCGGGGAGGTCTGGAAGGCGTCAGAACCAACTTTGGATTGGAACTTTTTGGACCTCTTCCTTTTTTGAACGAATGTGTGCCAATTCGTTTTGAAGGCAAAGGAGGTCTGGCCTGAAATAAATATTTGATGATTGAATAAATGAGTCGGAAAAGCTATAATCCAAAAGATGCACGGATAGAGATGGAGGTTTCAGTAGGGAGCATTACCATTTATCAGACCTAGAACACTAACTTTATTTTATTTTTATTTTTTATGCTTTTTTGGGCATTTTTTTATGCTCATTTAGCCAACATATAGTACATCATTAGTTTTTGAAGAACACTAACTTTAAACTTGGATGGAGAACTGCTTTAAGTACAGGAGATGGAAAATTGGTTCCTTGACTGTGAATGTTTGTGGGACTTTGATGATGACTTTGCTGTTATCTTGCTATTAGTACTATTTCTTCATGAGGACATTTCCATTGCACATACACAAAAGTTCCATATGGCAAACTTCTGTTCTTGTTACAAGAAAAATGGGTAATAAAATGCATTAAAGTAGATTTGCTTTGTATAAATCCTTTTGTATAAATTTCTACCAAGAAAGGTTCATTTTAAAAATACTAATCCTAAACAGAAATTCTGAGTACTGTGGGCAGGAGACAACCTGGGTAAAATATGAATGGACATTTTCTGCATTTTTACCAAAATAAAAAGCATGACCTCACCGCTAAGTTTAATTTTCTTTTGACGTCTGTATTTTTTTTTAAAGTTAGACTAATCACTAAGTTGTTTTCTCTAAAAGATACTTCAGAAGAAAGGAGCTGAGTGAAACGTTAGACTTTAAGAAGGACACAGAAGACCAGGAGAGTCAACATGAGAGTGAACAGGACTTCTCCCAAGGACCTTGTCCCACTGTCCGTCAGAAGCTCTGGAACATCCTGGAGAAACCTGGATCTTCCACAGCTGCTCGAATCTTTGGGGTCATCTCCATCATCTTTGTGGTGGTGTCCATCGTCAACATGGCCCTGATGTCAGCTGAATTAAGCTGGCTGGACCTGCAGCTGCTGGAAATCCTGGAGTATGTGTGTATTAGCTGGTTCACCGGGGAGTTTGTCCTGCGCTTCCTGTGTGTGCGGGACAGGTGCCGCTTCCTGAGAAAGGTGCCCAACATCATCGACCTCCTTGCCATCTTGCCCTTCTACATCACTCTTCTGGTAGAGAGCCTGAGTGGGAGCCAGACGACACAGGAGCTGGAAAATGTGGGGCGCATTGTGCAGGTTTTGAGGCTGCTCAGGGCTCTACGCATGCTAAAGCTGGGCAGACATTCCACAGGTATTCAAATTTCAGTGATGCTTTTTTAATTTGCCATTGTTTGTAAACATTAGTGCTTGACTACAGTCCAAGAGAAGTGACCATGAATTGATACTCAGAATTACCAACTCCCATCCTATACCCAACCAGGGTCTCCAAAAAGGGATTGGGGAGCAAAACCCTGAAGTTGCTATCACAGGTAGAGAGGAGAAGATGCCTCTCACACTCCTCTCCATAAGACATGTGAAAAACAGTTTGACCCCTTGTTGCCCTCAATTTATTTTAACCCAGTGCTCAGAAGTTGTACAAAAATTAAAGACACTCTGCCTCTAGAAGGTTCTAGATAAAATATGCATAAACAGCACATAAAAAATATGCGCAAATTATTCATGATCTATAGGGACATAAGCCAGTTTCTCTTCTGTGTCCAAGGAAGGGCTTTTACCACACACGTTCCTGGGCAAAAAAGATAGTCAGCCTCACAGGGCTTTCTTTAGCCATGCAGAAACTGGGATGACCAGGCACTGGTGGCCATCCCATGATTTTTGAAGAAACAATGGAAATATTTGCTTTGTAGGAAAGTTGAAAACACTGATTAAATGCTTTATCTAGTATCTGAGAATCTTCTTGTCCCTAAACCGGGATGCATGAGAGATATGGTAATAAGAATTCCTTAAAATCTAATGAAAATCTAACAAACACTCGCCCTAGAAAAATCTCCACACAACACTCAGTTGTGCATGAAAGTTATAGTCAATGTCAGGGGAAGTCACACAAATCCATTAAAGATGATTCTTGTGTTCCTGAGGGCAGCGATTCTCAGTGGCTGGTCCTGTGGCTGTTGGATGTTCTGGAGTTACCTTATGTTAGGTTTTGATGAAAAGCTTGTTAAAAGGCAAATTCTGAACCTCAATCTGTGAACAGACAGATTTTAGTATTTGGGGGTGGATTGAGGAGCATGCATTTTAACAAGCTCACAAGGGATTTTGTGTGGACTATACTTTAAGACACACTGGAGTAGAATGCCATGTTAATATGGCACATATAAATGCAATACACAAGAACACAAATAATTTAGCTAGAAAGTCCTACTACCACCTTATTTCCCCAGATATGTGCTAACTGGTTACCTAAAAGAAGTTGATGGTCATTGTCTCTCCCTATTAAAGTAGGGAGAAATTAACTTCAAATATGTTTTTTTCCCCACATGTCTGAGGTAATTAGGACTTCTCCTAACATAATTTGGTAGTGTATTTTCCTAGCTACTCTCACATAGCAGGGATTTGATAATGGGGTTTCGAACAACTTTTAGAAGTACCACTCTTTGTTTTCTGACACACATAATAGGATGTTTTCTTCTAGTATTTATAAACTCCTCACAAGATTCGATTTAAAAACACCCAGTAAAGACTACATTTTTTCCCAAAAGAAAAGAAAAAGAAAATAATAGTAATTTCCACCATGTCACCTCTTCACGGGTTTTTTTTTTTTTTCAGTTCCAAAGCAGTACAAAGTATTAATAAAGCCTTAATTTATTGAAAGGATATGAACGCTTACGTAAATATTTGACAATTTTATCTTAAGCATTACATTTAGCAATATATACACATAGATGACATAGTTCCCCATGTATTAACTATTAACATAAAATGAGAGGTATTCTAGAATAACGGGAGGGCAATGGTGGGCCAGAGAGCCAAAGTTTAAGTCCTGGCTCTGCAGCTCTGTACTAGATATGCCACTTCTCTGTGCCTCAGTCTCCTCATCTGTAAAATGGCACAATAATTACATCAATTTCATATTGTTTTTTAAGGATTATCTGAGTTAATAGATGTAGCATGCAGAAATTTAGACCACTTTGTGTTTCTTTACAAAATTATTTAGAATATTTCATCTTGAAATGAAAACAGTCTTCTAAACACTGTGTTTTTCTTCATATGCTGTCAATATATTTCAGAAATACAATTCAATGCAGACACATCAAGGTCAGCTTTCTAAAAGATATTCTAAAGACATTCTAAAAAGAATCTCCTTTTGAAGTTAAATGTCAAAATTAATATTCCTTAATCTTTAAAAAATAGCTGGTAAATAATTTAAGAATATCTTGAAGTTTTAAGAACCAAATTTAAAAATAATGAGAGCACAAATGGCATTTTAATGAAATTTCAAATAGTCTCTAGTGAATAAAAATTAAAATGATTCTAGGAGGCATTGCTTTGACCTTCAGAGACAGCATCATTATAACTTCAGGCTGATATGACTTCAAAATGCGGATACACCTTCAGCAGTGTTTGTGAACTCTGGTGTCAGGGAAGATACCTTATTCAAAATTGCAGTCCCATTATGGGCTCATCTGACTCTCCTTAGGGTTGAGTCTCTGGAGATGGGATTAGACTCTCTTGGGTCTGTCTCCCAGGGATTCAGTGAATCCTCAGAAGAGCAGTAGGGAATGCACCAATGCCTCTAGTGAGTGAATTTCCCAGTAGCTTCAGTCCCCCATACCTTTTTGCAGTGAAGGAATAATCTGTATTCAGGTCTATCTCCTTACAGGAAAGCAGAAATTCTATGTGCTCAAGGGAAATGTTGCCCTAGAGCTTTGGTACTATGGGTGCGAATTTGAGTGGGTATCACGGGAGTTCAGGAATCCCTCCTGATAAACCCTTAAGAATGCCCCGTGAATGTACGTAGGATGTTCTCGTGTCAGTGCGGTCACTGATGCTTAACTCACTCCTGCTGCTTCACTTTGTTCTCATGGTGGACATCCTTTACTGCTTCTGGCTTTCAGATAACAATGCCCTGACAGTGTTCAACTTCGTTAGGAGGGTGAGTAAAGCAGACACATAAAATGTTAGAAAAGTGTGCCAAAGTGACACATGGAATTGCAGGTCTGGCTAAGTGAGCCCTCCACTTGCCATGATGCACAGGTCTCCAATTTTATGGACTAAAGTATAATTCCTGTCGTACATCCCCTTCCTGCCTTGTAGTCTCATCTGTCACTTTTTTTTTTTTTTGTATAACTAGTAGGTGTTTAGTAAATATATAAGTGCATGAATGAATCTAACTAGATTTCTTTCTATCCTTTGCAATCTGGCCCCACCAACTAGACTATGAGCTCCCTGAAGAAAAAGATTATGATTTATCATCTCAGTATCCCCAGAACACTGCCCAATGCTGGAGACATGTCAGATGTGAAATGCACGTTTGTGGGCAGAGAGCCGGGCAGGAGAGGGGAAGAGAGGGAAGTGGAAGGTGGCGAGGGACAAAGGGGTGCCAGTGACTGACGACAGTTGTTCTATTCCAGGATTACGCTCACTCGGGATGACAATCACCCAGTGTTACGAAGAAGTCGGCCTACTGCTCCTATTTCTGTCTGTGGGAATTTCTATATTTTCCACGGTGGAATATTTTGCTGAGCAAAGCATTCCTGACACAACCTTCACAAGTGTCCCTTGTGCATGGTGGTGGGCCACAACATCCATGACTACTGTGGGCTACGGGGACATTAGACCAGACACCACCACAGGCAAAATCGTGGCCTTCATGTGTATATTATCAGGAATCCTTGTCTTGGCCTTGCCTATTGCTATTATTAACGACCGCTTCTCCGCTTGCTATTTCACCTTAAAGCTCAAGGAAGCAGCCGTTAGACAGCGGGAAGCTCTGAAGAAGCTCACCAAGAATATAGCCACTGATTCATATATCAGTGTTAACTTGAGGGATGTCTATGCCCGGAGTATCATGGAGATGCTTCGGTTAAAAGGCAGAGAAAGGGCAAGTACTAGGAGCAGTGGGGGAGATGATTTCTGGTTTTGAATTCACTTTCAATTTATGTACAAAAGTTTGTGTACAACTAACTCAACTGATAAAACCTTGAAATGGATGTCTGTATACTGTTGAAGAGTCTCTTTTGAGTACTACCCGTGTTAGTTTTTACTGATATATTGCTTAGTCTGCTAGAATAGTTCACATGCCCCAAACCAAGTGCACACTGAGTCTCAAAACTAGTCATTTAACACAACCCAATACAAGTAGGCCAAATGTCTGAATTGTCAAATATAAAATAATAGTGCAATACATACAACAAAGTTTCAAGTTTTACGTATCACTAATTTTAGAAGTTCTTTGCACCACTAACCTAAGAGAATGGGAGTTAAACTGCATAGCCCAGAGCAAAGATAAGTGAATCTTTAGGAACATACTGAACAACTTTGCTATTTAAAGACATTCTCCAAGTAAAGAAATCACTCTTTTTTCCATCAGTTAAAGCTGTTAAATACAACAATTCCCTTTGCAAGTGAAAATCCTGATTTGATGGCCATAGATGGTGACCCTGTCTTCCCTCTGGTGCAAACCACTGATCACAGAGGGACTAAGTTCTGATTCCCATCATTACTATCAGAGGTGGAAATCCCCAGACTGCTTAGCCGACAGCAGAAGAGTGTTGCATAGAGGCTTCGAGAACTGTGCCTCCTCATCCTCCCCACCGAATGCAGTAATGTAGTCTAGAGTAGGTGTCTCCCGCACCCCTGGCAAATCAGATGGTCTTAAAAAATCTCTTTATTGATGTAGTGTTCAAATTATGTCTTTAAAATCACAAACATGTAAAGGTGAAGTAGTGAACATCCTAAATATATACGATGAAATTATTAAATAGTCTTATTTCATAAAATGAGAATGATATGTTGAATGATATCACTGGTTGGAACTTGAAGATCTTTTATTTGTTAACAAAAAAATATTATGGATAGTTTTCCAACTGTTGGGGCAAATAGCAAATGTTCAAACTGTACACATTTAGATGGTCATCCATGATAATGATAAAATTCACGGACATTCTGTTATATTGATTAAAACCGAAAGTTCTAAACCTAAGAATTAGTTCATGATTCCCAATATTCTAGTTAAGGAGATTTTAAAAACTAAGAGTGAAATGGAGTATCATTTTAATACCTGCATTTTCATTGTGTTTAATAGTGCCCCCAAGGGGATGAAATTGGTTCTTGGGGGGCAAAAATATCAGTCCTTTTATTCATAAAAACAGATATATACATGTAATACATGAACAGATATAGAGTATATCCATGGTGTTAAAATTTCATGGGGTGGAAAATTAGGGGGGAAAAATGCCTAAGAGGCTCTTTGCCAGGGTTGGATGGTGATAAGAAATACACATTGAGAAATACTGCTTTTATATATGGCTATACAATAGTTAACCAAGTCTATTTAAAACACCCTATTATATTATGAACCACAAAAAAAGGGGAGGCAGAAAAGGAGGAAGGAAGGAAGGAAAGAATAGAGAAGCTAATCAATTATAAGAGGCCATTGATTATAAAATGCATCCAGATTTTAGATATGTAAAAATTTTAAATATGCATCTTAAATCAATAAAATAATATATATACTACTCCGGTTTTCTGGTATGCATGCTTAAGCTCTGAAAACATTTTCAATGATGTCATGAGTTTTAGATTGTATGCTAAAATATTTTAATCCACTTGGCTTGTTTCCAGTTCTCCCAAATATTATGAAAGATTTAGGAGATATAAATGGTAATAAAATAAATATTTTCCCTCTTACACAATTCACAGGTGCTGGACATTTGGCCATAGGGTCACTAATTCTAGTATAAATCCCATCCACAGTCTGAAGGCAAAACAGAAGTTAGATACAGAAGCCAAACTTAACCGTGGCTTCTCTAGAACTTTCCTCATTAAGAATAGTTGCTCTGATCCAGATCTGTGCTCTATACTCACTGTGTATTATGTCATTAATCCCAAAATATCCCTACTAAACAATTATTATTATACTGTTTTAAGTATTAGTTCATTACATTTATTCATTCAACAAATATTTATTTAGAACCTATCTGTAGGCTGGGCACTGGAGATTCTTAAACCAGACCAAGTCCTATTCTCTTGTACTTAATATTCTGTTCGAGAGTTTGAGGGGAACACAGATGATAAGACTGAGGCATAAGAAGGTGAAACAACCTGCCTAAATTCACACACTCCATGTACAGGTGACAGAGCCAGGAATGAATCCCAATCTCCTGGACCTCAAAAATGATACTCCTAAAAGTCATATTATAGATTTCATTATTCCCACACAACCTGTGGATAGGGATTCACTTCATAGCCAGGCAAGCCAATTTCTAGTGGATGGAGAGGTTTAATATGCCTTAAGAAAAATTTTAGCTTATTCTCAGAGGTGGAATGGTGCTTATAAGGAACAGCTGTTGTCATGCTTTATAGTCATTATTAGACAAGAAAAATATAATCTTTAGAATAATTGATAGCTAAAAAACAAAAAAAAAGAAAAATGAAAAACTGTATTCCATATTTTTTTTTCTACCACCAAAGATTCTAAACATGTTCTTCACAAATGTGGTATGTTAACAGTATATATTTTGTCAAGATGTGGACATTTCAAAAGAAAATTTTAAATACCATTGCTTAGTCAACTTTGCTGTTAGAGAAAATAACAGTGTACTTATTCAGCAATGTACATATAAGCAAACCAAAGTTAATTTAAGTAACATATGAAATAACTGTTAATTTTATAGCCCATCATTTAAAAAGCATTTGATATTTTTCATAAATGTAAGAATTATTGCTACAAAACAATATTTAATTTGGAAATATAAATAATGGAATTATTGGTTTTCTTTAAGCTATTTAGAGAACACTAATTAAAAACATTGCGTGCACAGAGGTAATGTTTGAACACCTAAAAGAGCAATTTTAAGAAATCACTATGGTATCTCTAGTAGAAGTGGCATGATGTTCATGTTTTACTGGTTTTTTCCCTATATATACAAGGAATTGTTGCATTTATCATTTTAATGCAAATTAGTGTTATGATGTATTAGATGCACAAAGAATTAACTGAGGAAGAAATCTCAGTGCTGTATTTCAATGTGGAATTCTTACTCTGATTAAATCTTTGACTAAGCTCTTGTAGAAAATGTATATGCTGGCCCAAGTTATCCGAGCGAAAGATTATCATTGGGTAAGGTAATGCTTTGACAAACATTTCCGCTGAAACATTTTGTTAACATGAAAAGTCTGCTCTTTTGAAATATTAACCATTAATATCTCTGTCTTATCAATTCTTCAATTCAGGTCCAAGATATCCATTGGCAAATGACATGTTTTAGTGCTTCCCTTGGTGATTTTCTTTCACAAAGCACCACCACTCCCAAACTTCTTTCCAAGCCATGCTGATACATGAAATAAAAATGTCACATAGGAGAGTTTTACTCATAAACCCCACTGGCAATTGCTTATGTGGTATGTCTTTAGGGCTAATGGGAAACATCTTCCCTTGCCTTCTATTAGAATCACTCCCTTGCTTATCCCCTCAACTCCGTTGCCCCTCTCTTCCTGGTTTGGAATCAGTAAGACCCAAATCCTAATTAAGTCCAATCTTGTGCCTCCATGTGCCTGCCTCCGCAGAACTGATCACAAGGACAGAAAAAAAACCAACATATGCAGACTGCTTTCATTTTGCATTCTTGCCTACAATCCCGAATGGGTTCTTAATGCTGCGAGGCAATCATACTGCAATTCCTGAATGTATTCACTCTCTCTAGATAAATATCCTTTTCATTGCGCTTTCACTCAGAAAATAGAATCAAATTTTCCACAAGGGCCGACACCCACATTTATCCACCTACATCCACCTGTGCCTATTCACTCTGCCTTTCCTCCTATTACGTGGATTGAACTGTCCATCCTATCCCCCTCTGCTTCAGAAAGCCTATCCCTCTCCCTATTATACCATCACTTTTCCCTCTCGCTACTGGATCATTTCTATCAACATATAAACATGATTAATTTTTCCCATCTTAAAAACAAAAACTAAAGCAAACAAATGAATTTTTACAACTCCTAGAATCTATGTCACCCTCTAGGAAACACCCCACTCTCTGGTCTCCTTGGCAAAACTCTTTGACAGCACTTTTATACTCACTTCATTTCTATATTCACTATTTTTTCCCTATTCTCCAAATCAGCCTCCCACCCCTACATATCCTAAAACTGTTCTTCTCAAGGTCAGCAATTACCCCATCATTGCTAAATTCCATCATTAATTCTCAGAACTCATGGTGCTTGATCCATCAGCAGCATTTTACAAGATTATCGACTTCCTTGAAGCACCACCGCCTTCACTTGACTTCCTGCCCATTGCACTCTCTTGATTTCCCCCTGATGCCCTGCTCACTCATATTTTCTGGTTGAGGTGTTCAATCAGGACTTCATCCTCAGACCTCTTCTCCTCTCTATTTACATTGTTCACCCTGTTTCATGGCTTAAATATCACTGATAGTCAACTCCCAAATTTCTATCTCCAGACTAACCCGTCTCAATTCCTGCATCTTCAGATTTGTGTATGTTACTGCCTGTTCAATATCTACACCTGAATGTCCAATACATAGCTCATGATTACCACATCCACCACCAAATTATTTATATTTTCTCCAAACTCTATGTTAATTCAAGTTCTCTGAGAAGCAGATGCCAAGACGGGTGATTATTGTAATACTGATGACATCTAAGACCTTTACTTGGAGGAAAAAAAAAAAGCCTTTGAAGGATAAACAGGAGTCTAGAGAAGGTGGGAAGAACCTTCAGACCATGATGCAAATCTGACACGGGTGAAGAAGAAGGAGAGAGAAGGATTGGGTTAAAAAAAAGAGTCTCTGGTAATAGCCTAGTTCTGAGAAAATGTCAACCGAGTTGATGGAGAGTCGTGAGCAAAAGTAGCCCATCTCTTTTAGAAAGGGCCCTGCACTCAGAAAGCAACAGCTCAGGCTGTCGGTCAGCCATGTTCCGTTCAGAAGGAGATCTGAGCGGGGGATTTTTATGGCCACCAACGTCAAGCCCTGGAATTGCCCCAGTCGGCTTCTCCACGCATGTTCAGAAGTAGCCCCTCCGTGAATCCCATGCCCCTCTCTTTGTGAGGGAAATTTTAGAAAAAGGAGTTGGTGGGTGACCAGAGCATTCACTGCTGCAGTTGGTCTCAGAATAGCAGCTAGTAGTCATCCCCTACCTCCTCCATTATCCACAGCACCCCATCACAGCACATTATTTACCCCACCGGACCCTTGCATACTAAAAGTTATAAAGAGAATTCTCATCTGTGTATGCCTTTCTCTACCTCCGAGGAACATTTTATATCCTACAAAATACTTTTATCATTACTGTGTACCAACATGCACTATAGTTAGTTATGTGGCACAAAATTTTTATTGCTGTGCTACTTATTTTTATTCTGAACAAAGAAATAGCACTAATAAAATGATATTTCAGGGGGAAATTTCAATAATTTAAATCCTGTTTTATTCATTTCTGACCATCACACTCAGTATGATACTATTTTAATAGGACACTAGTAATAATCCAATGACTTGAAAAATACTTTCATGTTTATATATTAACTTATGTAAAACCATTAAGGTAGAAAAACACATTTAGCTTTCAACAACATGAAGCAACTAAACGTGAAGTAACAGGGAAAATAGGTTAACTTTTGGATTTCTTTTTCATGTTCTAAGTTGAGTGACATTTCTTCCAACTATATGCTCCTTACTATGCCTTCTTTAGAAGGTTTATAGTCTAAGGGGCTTTATAATTAAAAGAAGATAAGGTGATATATGGATTTTCTACATTATTCTACTGTTCAGTACTCAAGTTATTTCCAAAGGAATAATAACTGAACAAAAGAAATTTTGACAAGTTTGATGCATGTGCACACATGCGCATGTACGTGCATGCACGCACACAGAGAAAGGGACAGAGGGAGAGAGAGAAATAAAAATTTAGGGTAACAAAAGAGATTTTGAAATTATGGGAGGCAGATGTTCCTTGACATGTAACAATAATCACCTCAATACCTCACAATGGATATGTAGATAGAATTTCAATCATCTATCTAAATAAG